AACTGAGCTGTTGCCTCCTCGGGCTGAGCTGTTGCATAAGGCTCAAGTCCCGGGCTTGTTCTCGGCCAAGAGCCCTGATTGGTCTGCTCCAGCCACAGCCTGGCATCCGAATTAGGCGCGGTGGTCCAGAAGGGTTTTGAACTCCGCCTCTGGGCTCTCTGCCCATGGTGACTTGCTGCTGCGCGGTGTAGAAATGTCAAAGCAAGCCTGAGATGAGTCGCTACACAACTTCAACTGGCCTACGGCATGCCTCGCTCACTTCAGGAATGCAATCACAGCATGACAAAGGCCGCGACAGCTTCCGACTGGACCTCTGGCTAGGCAGAGCTTGCCATTAGCAGGCACTTCACCGACGAGTGAGAGCACCAAAATCATAGATCGCACACAGATTGCCGCAGCCTCTAAAGCTCTTTTCCCCTGCCCGTACGGGAGTAATGTGCGTTCGAAACATATTTTGAGGCTCGGGAGACAGGTTAGTCATCGCTACCGGGCTGCAGATCAGCTGGGCCAGAAGCATTGTGTTCAAGGGCGACAGCATCAGAACTGAGTGATTGCCGTGCTGGCGAGGTCAAGCCAAGGATTTACCGGCACTCTGTGAAGCCTCTCCGCTTCTCCAGGACCGCGGAATCCACGGCTCCAATGTAGCCCACCATGGACGTGCTACATATGCTCCAGCCGAGGTTCGTAGAGAGCAGACACAAATGCCACAGCTGCTGCTTGAACTGAAGCTCAGGCGAGAAGGGTCTGCCGTGTCAGTGTCTGTCAGTATCATCTGCAGTGTCGTCTCGATGTTCGGGAACACCCAGAAGATCAAGCAAAAACGCTCTCTTGCTCATCGAACATTTCGGGGCTGGATACAGTAGTCGTACCAGGTCCGCCTAATCTGATGATATCTGATGCTCACGTTTGGGAGCACCTTGGATTCTTGTCTTGCAAATGCGGCGTGTGAGTCCGTTGCCTGCTGCACGTAGAGCTCGCACATGAAAAATCGAGTTTCACATCGCATAAAGCAACAGCGTCCATCGAAGCTGCAGGAACACAAGAAGCAGCTTGACAAGCTGGGACCGTAAAGCCATTAGCTGACAATGGCGTTTCCAGCTGATGGAGGTGCCACAAACGCACAGCAACCGCACTTTCAAGGTGCGCCACAAGCAAAACTCGGCATAGCAGTTAGCAACCGCTGCAAATCCCACCTGCACAGCAGGTGCGACGACGCCGCTCACCTTATGCTGCTCCTGTGCCTGCAAGAAGGCAAGTACTCCCAAAGGCCGCGCTCTCTATCAATAGCATGCGTGGTATCCTTGGTGGAGAAGCTGATCACATGAGGCAAGGCGAAGGCACAGCACAGCATGCTCGCAACGTCTTGTGCACAAACTGCTCTCACTGGAAGGCCTGCAAGGCCTCTTGTGAGCGCTGCAGCTGTTGCTGCAAGTCGTCGTGGGATGCCTCCGTGACCGCGATTCATTTCGGCAGCGGAGCACTGCGAATCGCTCAGTCCAAAAGCTTATACTGCGCCTGGAGTGTCTGTGCGGCGCTTAGCAGCCCACTCATCTCGCTGTTCTGTTGGGAGGCCTGCGGCTCAACACGAGATCCAAGCCCAGGAATGTTGGGCACTATGTCGGGCCACTCAAGCCTTCTCCTCGGCGGCAACGAGCTGTTCAGTCACGGCCGCTACGTGGGCCTGCTGCACCAAAACTTATCTTGAGCCCCCATCCCTGCC